GCTATATCTAAATCTGAACCGATTTGAATGAAATTTAATGGAAGCCGTTCTAGGTTCAGTTTGGAAAGTTGTGCCGAATTTCTTGCCAATCGGACAAATCTTGGGTATTTCGTGCATAATTTTCTCGAAATCAGCTTGAAATATATTTGGAAGCTATATCTAAATCTGAACCAATTTCGACAAAATTAAAAAAACGCTATCCTAATTTCAATACTGTACGCTGGGCAAAATTTCGTTGTAATTAGACAGACTTTGGGTATTTGATTTACCATTTAAATGAAATCGGTAAAAAATCATATGGGAACTGTATCCAAATCGGAACAGACGCCTTTACAGGCCCAGGGCTGTAAAGAAGTCTTTATAGACACCGTTGAAGGCACATGACTGCAAAGAAGTCTTTATAGACGTCTTTATAGACGGGCTGTAAAGTCTTTATAGATGCCTTTACAGGACCAGGGTTGTAAAGAAGTCTTTATGGACGCCTTTACAGGACCAGGGCTGTAAAGAAGTCTCTATGAACGCCTTTACAGGACCATGGCTGTAAAGAAGTCTCTATGAACGCCTTTACAGACTTGGGCTCTAAGGAATTCTTTTGAGATGCCTTTACAGGCCTGGGCTGTAAAGAACAGTTTTTAGACGCCTTTACAGGTCTGTGCTGTAAAGATGTCTTTTTAGACGCCTTTTTAGGACCAGGGCTGTAAAGAAGTCTTTATAGACGTCTTCACAGGGCTGTAAGCTATAAAGAAGTCTTTATAGACGCCTTTACAAGCCTTGACTGTAAAGAAGTCTTTATGTATGCCTTTAAGGGCCCAGGGCTGTAAAGAAGCCTTTATAGACGTATTTACAGGCCCAGGGCTGTAAAGAAGAAGTTTTTATGGGCGTCTTTACAGACCAGAGCTGTAAAAAAGTCTTTATAGGCCTGGGGCTGTAAAGAAGTCTTTATAGACGCTTTTACAGGCGTGGGCTGTAAAGAAGTCTTTATGGACGTCTTCACAGACCAGAGCTGTAAACAAGTCTTTATAGGCGCCTTCACAGGTCTGGGCTGTAAAGAAGTCTTTATATACGCCTTTACAGGCCATTTGGTATTATTTTCTTTCAAAACTTTTACATAATCGTGTTTGGCATATTACATTTGAAAATTTGATATGTGGATGGAAAATATTTGATTACAAAAACAAAAAATTTCTCATGATTTATTTAATTACCTTTTAATTGCGTTTTGGCTTAATTTTCTTTGTGTGTGTGTGTTTTAAAAACTTTGCTATGATGTGAAATCGTTGAATGTTTTCTCTCTAATAATATGATGATGGGCGGATCTGTTTTTGTTGTTGTTGTGTTTCATTTTGTTCTCTATTATAAATATAGTAAATATTTTTTTTTTACTTTCTCTTTCTCTACATAATTTGTAATTGTAGCGCTTTTGCATCATTCTTTGATAATTCAAACATAAAAAATGATGATTGATAACTCGTTGCTATGTAAACATCCTTTTTTCATGTGTATGTGTGTGTGATAGGTGAGATTTTCTATTTTTTGATTTTCTTCTATGGTATATTGTTGATTGGTAGATTGATAATGTGTATGTAGTTGTGAATGAATACATGCATGAATGAAAACCTGCTTTTTAAAATCCTTTCTTACAAAGGATCCCTAAAAGTTTGTTGTTGTTGATTTGTTGTTATTAGAACTTGATTGATATTTAGTTTATTGTTTTTGTTCTTCTACTTCCATTTAATTATTTATCATTATAGTTAAGTTGTTGTTCTTTTTTTCTTTGTGGTTGTTGCGTGTGTTTATGTATGGTGTGTTTTTGTTGTTGTTGTCACATGTCATGTTTGACAAAAAGGTGGGAGCATTTTCATTTGTTGTTGTTGTTCTTATTTTCATTCTTTGTTTGTTTTATTATGATTTGTTTTTCTAGTAGTAGTAGTGTATTAGTACTTAGCTATTCGACGACGACGACATTGATAGACGACTCAAAATTCTTCATTCCAACCTGGAAAATTTTAGTTGTTGCTGGGAGTTTTTTAGTTTGAATATACATACATATATGTATAGAGAGAGTGCGTGTAGAATAGGTTTCCATATTATTACAACCATTGGCCAGTAGAATTTTGTTATTGTTGTTCTTGTTTTTGTAGAAATGTTGAAGATTAAATGAATTCATTTAATTTGTGGTAGCTGCAGCCTCTGTACGCCAGGCAACATGTGAAGGCTGCAAAAAAAAAATAATAATAATAATAATAATAAATTAATAGGGTACCAGTCAAGGAAAGTCTACGATTTATAGATAAAAGCTTTTTTACAATTCTGATTTGTAAAGGTATGTAGTAAGTCCTTTTGATAGCTAGAGGTGTTGTTGCCCTAAGGCTGTAAAGGCGTCTATAAAGACTACTTTACAGCCGGCTGTAAAGGCGTCTATAAAGACTACTTTACAGCCCTGGTCTGTAAATGCGTCTATAAAGACTTCTATACAGCCCAGGTTTGTAAAGGCACCTATAAAGACTTCTTTACAGCTCTGGGCCGGTCAAGCCGTCTCTACACCGACTTTTTTATAGCCCTGGTCTGTAAAGTCGTCTATAAAGACTTCTTTATAGTCCAGGTCTGTAAAGTCGTCTATAAAGACTTCTTTGCAGCCCTGGTATGTAAAGGCGTCTTTAAAGTTTTCTGTACAGCCCTGCTCTGTAAAGGAACCTCTAAAAACTTCTTTACTGCCCAGGCCTGGTAAAGGCGTCTAAAAAGACTTGTTTACTGCCCTTGTCTGTAAAGGCAGCTATAAAAACATCTTTACAGCCATGCAAATGCGTCTCTAAAGACTTCTTTACAGACCCGCCCAATAAAGGCGTCTATAAAGACTTCTTTGCAGCCCTGGTCTGTAATGGCGCCTATGAATACTTCTTGACATTCCAGGCCAATAAAGGCGTCTATAAAGACTTCTTTACAGCCCTTGTCTGGAATGGCGCCTATGAATACTTCTTGACATTCCAGGCCTTCTTTACAGGCCAGGCCAATAAAGGCGTCTATAAAGACTTCTTTACAGCCCTGGTCTGTAATGGCGTGTATGAATACTTCTTGACATTCCAGGCCTACATTACTATAAGTCAGATTTATTAAAAGATTTTTTTTATCGTTGACCTTGTATAAAACTTTCCCAAAAATATTTTGGTTGATTTGGGGTTTTATTCTTCTCCTTACCTTTGAATTATTTTTGGAATTAGATTTCTCCACAATGGATAATGGTGCACCGTTACTTGTTACTCCAACTACTGCGGGGAGATTATTTTGGCTCGATGAATTGGCAGCTGCCAATAATTGAGCAAAATTACCCGAAAAATGCAAACCATTGGTGCTAGTTGATACCAAAGATGTTGTTGTTGTTGATGATGGGGTTGTACTGGTTAATCCTCCTCCTGCTGCTGCTGTAGCCAGCAGTAATGGTGTAACATTTGAGCCTTCTAAAATAAAGAAGAAAATACATATAAATATTTATTACAAAAAATTTTAACACAAAAATAATACCTTTAAGCAAAAATCCTTGTTGCTGTCCATTGAATGCGACCGGAGATGCAGTTAGAGATGATGGTGAAGATGGCGTTGGACCAACACCACCACCACCACCATTGAGAAGTGTAATTTTGCCATTGGCATGATAAAATGCGGTAGCCAGAGTAGTTGTGGTATTATTGCAGGTGATGTTGCTGTTATTTAAAATATTCAATTCCGCCCCACCGGGTAGACGACACAATTCATTGGCTGTCACAGAATTTGAGGTAGTGCCATTATTCAATAATTTGCCATTGTTTAGTGATAGTTTGGCACTGTGAGCTGTTCCACTGTTGTTGTTGGTCATTAAACTACCATTGGCCAGTATCATTTTTTGGCCATTAACAAGGACATTTGTGGTTGTAATATTATCATGGAGGCCATTTGTACTAATACCACCACCACCAACTCCACTATCGATACTTCCCAGGGTCCCACCACCACCACCTCCATTGGCCAACAGGGATGTAGTATTTAATACTTTTAAAAATTTGGCGGCTGGCTGTTCACCATCTTCTGATGAATGTTTGTTGTTGGTATCCATCATGTTGTTATGATTTTTGTTGTTGCTGCTGCTTTTCTTGCGACCACCACTAGAAGCAGCTCCTCCAGTACCACCACCAACACCATTATTTTGCAGCTTAGATGCGTGTGATACGGAAGAGAATGTTTTTTGTTGATGGCCACTATTCATTTGATTTGTTGGAATACCTGCCGCCGCTGACGACCCATGTGCTGATGATGCTGCTGCTGCAGAATATACAAAATCATTTCAAAATTTTTGATCATTCATTCAATTCTAGGCCACATTTGTTTACACAAAAAATATATAAGAATTAAATGATGATAATGTGACAGAGAATTTTGAAGTGGTCGGACGGTCGGTACGCAGAAGAATAAGAAGGAACAAGAATTTGTACAAAGAGTTTTCATTGGTGGTGGTTGTGGTGGTCGTGGTTGGTGGTCAGTCTCTGGTTCCAATAAATATATTTATTTTTTCATTTTGTTCTATTCATGAGATTTCAATAGTTGGAGTTGGGGAGGTGGTGATTGTGGTGGTGGTGTTTGGCCGCATCAAAAATTGTGCTCAATAATTTGAATTTAGTTGGAAGGATAACAGACAGATCAGGTTTTGTTCAGGATTATATATTTTTTGATAGGATGTTATACAAGTGGTGGTTGATTGTGTTATTGTTGTTGTTGGTCGCTTTTGTAATGCTATTGTGTGATATATATTTTCTTTCTGCTGGGCTTGGTGTATGGTTAAATTAAAAAAAAAAACTGTTGTGTATGTTCCAGGGTTTTAGCGTTTTTCTTTTTTTTTCGGGGTCAACCCATATATTTTGAGAATTTTATTTCGATTTTCTCCTTTCTTTTTGAGTCTTCTCCCCATATTGTTTGTTTGTTTTATTTTCATTCTTTTCATGTTTTGGCCAGATTTCTGTTTAGTTGGGCTACGAGCTTAGCTTACACTAAATGGCAACCACGCAAGGCTTGCAACATAATCGCTGTACGAGGTGATGGTTCGACGATGATTATTTGAAGGGAATGGAAGGAAATTAAACAAACAAAAATCAGAATAAGAGTTATGCCAATGTGATTTATACGAATAAATAAATAAGAAATATAGAATGTAGAGGAAGAGAGTGGAGGGATTACACAAATACATATATATAATAACATACTGGGCATTTACAGGCCAGGTCGGCAAAAAAGTCTTTAGAGGCCTTTTTACAGACCTGAGCTGTATATAAATCTTTAAAGACGCCTTTAATAGCCTGGGATGTAAAGAAGTCTTTAGGGCGCCTTTACAGACCTGGACTGTAAAAATGTCTTTATAGACGCCTTTACCGGGCCAGGGTTGTAAAGAAGTCTTTATAGACCCCTTTGCATGCCTAGGGCTGTATAGACGTCTTTACAGGCCTGGGCTGTAAAGAAGTCTTTATGGACGCCTTAACAGCCCTGGGCTGTAAAGGAGTCTTTATGGACTCCTTAACAGCCCTGGTCTGTAAAGAAGTCTTTATAGACGCCTTTATAGCCCAGGGATGTAAAGAAGTTTTTATGGATGCCTTAACGGCCTAGAGCAGTAAAGAAGTCTTTATAGACGCCTTTACAGACCAGGGCTGTAAAGAAGTCTTTATAGACGCCTTTACAGGCCAGGGCTGTAAAGAAGTCTTTATAGACGCCTTTACAGGCCTGGGCTGTAAAGAAGTCTTTGTAGACGCCTTTACAGGCCTGGGCTGTAAAGAAGTCTTTATAGACGCCTTAACAGCCCTGGACTGTAAAGAAGTCTTTATGGACGCCTTAACAGTCCTGGGATGTAAAGAAGTCTTTATGAAAACCTTTTCTGGCTGTAAAAAAGTCTTTACAGTCCTGGGCTGTAAAGAAGACTTTGTAGACGCCTTTAAAGGCCGAAGGCTTTAAAGAAGTCTTTAGAGACGCCTTTACAGACCCAAAGCTTTAAAGAAGTCTTTGTAGACGCCATTACTGTCCTGGGATGTAAAAGTCTTTATAGACGCCTTTACTGGCTCAGGGCTATAAATAAGTCTTTGTGAACATCTTTCCAGGCGTCTTTTCTGACCCAGGGCTGTAAATAAGTCTTTAGAGCCGCCTTTACTATACTACACAAAACATATATACATTTATATACATTACATATAGAAATATACACATTACACGCATTAGAGTCCTTAACAACAAAATATTTTTTTGATATACATACCATTATTAGTATTATTAACTCCTTGTGCGGGTGCTGATGTTGCAATAATTGTGGCGGCTGCCGTAGCGGCGCCATTGCCAATTGTTCCGGTAATAGCATGGGCGGTTACCGTACCACCAATGCCATTGGCTGCTGCTGCTTGCAATTTCAAGCCATTAGGAATGTTAACGGTCACACTGCGACCATTATTGTTGCTGTTGTTGTTGGTGATCACCCCATTGATGGGAGGTGATGACGAGATCAATGATGACGATGATGAGACGCCACTCGATGAGGACGGTGATGGCGATGGGGTTGAGGGTGTTGGCGAGCCACGTGTTATGGCCGTGGCTGAAATATTTTTGGCCGTCAATGATAAGGGCACACTGTTGCCACTACCACCACCAAAGGTTAGCAAAGCATTGGGACTGCCAATTGGGGGGCTATTGTTGCCAGTAACAGTGGTAGTAGCTGCTGCAGCTGTTGCCGATCCACCACCAGCAGCAACAACCTGAGTTGGTATGGCTACTGCTTGGATTGTTGTTGTAATTGGATGTTTGCGTTGATGGTGCTGCTGCAACACGACATGGTTGCTGTTAATTGTAATGGGTGATGATGTTGAATTGTGGTTGTTGTTGTTGATGTTGTTGCTGTTGCTAGAGTTGATTTTAGTTATCACAGGCGATATTGCGGTTGGCATAGCAGTTTGCAACTATATTTTGTAACAATTACAACAAATACAATTTGCATTTGATCAATAAAGATATATTTGTGTGTGTATATATGTATGTGTAAATTTTATTTAAAACAGAGATATATATAATATTTTAAATTAATTTTTTAAATTATATTAAAATTTATATTTAATTTTTATTTATTTAATTTTTTTTGTATGAGATTGTTGGCGTTTAAATTTGTTGCGGTGTGTTTGTTGTTGGTGTTGTTAGGCAGACATGGTGTTGAGGGATATTTGATAACATTCCAATTTGAAAGAAGTTAACATGTGAAGGAGAACATATTAAGAGCAAGATTTTTTATGTTTTTTTTGCAATTCAATTATTTTTGAAAAAAAAATGATTTTTTTGTTTCATTCAACAAAATAAAACTGTTCGATTTTTTTCTTCTTATCCTCTTGCTTGTTAGATGGACATTTGTATAAAACAATATATGTTTGTGTGTGTGTGGGAGTTCGGGATTTAAAAAATTGCCTTATTTTAATGCCAATTGTAATACATTTTGGTTTGGATTGTTGTTGGTGGGAGTGGGATTTTTTTGTTTTCAATAGGGAATCTGTGTGTCCATCCTATATATATGTATGTATGTTCGTTCTTGTATGTTTGCTACTAACAATGTATCTCTTTCATCATCATTATAGAAGAATGCAATTGATTTTTTGTATTACTTACACCAGCGCCAACTGGTGATGACATTGCATTGCTGCTGCCGTTACTGTTGCTACCGTTACTGCCACCACTGGACAGTGAACTGGATGAACTATACAATGTACTGCCACGGCCAGATGAGAGTGAATGTGTATCATTTATGGTATCTGAAAGGAGAAGGAGGAGATTGGAAAAAAATATTATTAAAAGGAAAATAATCGTATTTGATTGGGGTATATTTTTTTCTATAGAAACACAAACTCCCCAGCTATTTGAGGATTATTTTTTAGCCTTTCGGAGGATTTTTTTGTGGAGAATTATGGAAAAAGAAACATTAGATTTGGAATATCGTCAGCTAAAATGCAAAAAGGCGTAACTAAGGTTTTGGTAGATGCAATGTGAGGCTATACAATGTTTGAACCAACTAGGAGAGGATTCAAAATACTTAAAATCTATTGACAAAACTGCAAAGTCTTTTTTGATGCCTTTCGACACCACGGTGGTAAAGAAGTATACGCTTTACACACCGGGGCTGTAAGGAAGCCTTAATGTACGCCTCTACAGGCTTCCAGGCCTTTATATATTTTCTCTGCATAGAATAATTAATAGACGACTTTATAGTCCATGGTTGTCAAGAAGTGTTTACTAGAGTCTTTACTGTCCTGGGCTATAAAAAATGTCCTTAAAAGCAGATTTGTTTAGCCCATCAAGGGATTATTATACCCTCAGTTTATCTGTCTAAAAATTCAGGCTTACAGACCTGTATAGGTTTGCTCTGCATAGAATAATTAATAGACGACTTTACAGTCCAGGGTTGTCCAGAAGTGTTTACTAGAGCCTTTACTGTCCTGGGCTATAAAAAGTCCTTAAAAGCAGATTTGTTTAACCCATCAAGGGATTATTATACCTTACAGACCTGTATAGGTTTGCTCTGCATAGAATAATTAATAGACGACTTTATAGTCCAGGGTTGTCAAGAAGTGTTTACTAGAGCCTTTACTGTCCTGCACTATAAAAAAGTCCTTAATAGCAGATTTGTTTAGCCCATCAAGGGATTATTATACCCTCATAGAATAATTAATCCTTTATATATGTCTGACTGGCACTATGTAATAGCAGATTTGTTTAGCCCATCAAGGGATTATTATACCCTCAGCCTATCATTCTGACTGGCTGTTGCGAAGGGAGTAACTAATTTCAAAGAAAATATTCAAACATTTCCTAAAAAATAATTTTTCCATATCACGTAGACGGGCTATTCGATTTTAACTAAACTTTGCACATCATAACATTCTGACCTTGGTTAGAACAAGTCCAAAGATGAGACCAATCGATCAATACCTTCTGGTATCTCTCCCCCACAAAAAAAAATATTTCTATAGAGCCTCCTCGTGTGGTAACCCCGCACAGATGATCAACAATTTGATAACAGAAGATGAGACCAATTGATCCATACCTTCATCCATATTTCTATAGAGCCTCTTGTGATAACTCCCCACAGATGGTCAACTATTTGATAAAAACATATATCGTAATTCAGGCAACACTGACACTTTTTTATTCGTTTTTTTTTTTCCTCAGCCTTCAGGGGATGAAAAAACAAATATTTCAGCTTACTGATTATACGACTTTAATCATTTGGGACTTTTTTATGGGAGCTATGCCATGATATATTATTTGTAGGAAGATATTACACCCAATAAAACCTAAAATATAAACTATATATAACCAGTAAGGAAAGTAGTAAAGTCGGACTGGGCCGACTATATGATACCCTTCACCACTATATGTATATATGTATCCTAACAATTTCATGTCATGTCAACCTATGCTACATTTAATTTCAATCAGATTTAAGGAAATCGATTTATAGCAAACATGATACACGCGATTCAGTATGCCGCACTGTTAAAAATATAATCTCAATCAGGTACCCGTTCGAAATATATATGGAACGTTGTGCAAAATTTCATGTCAATCAGACAAACATTAGGAGTTTGGTACACCATTTACATAAAATCTTGCAAAACTACATATGGGAGATATATCTAAATCTGACCCGATTTTCTCGAACCTTAACACACATCAGTCTAGGATTAATTCAGTACTCTATGCCAAATTTCGTACAAATCGAGAGATATATAGGGACGTTGGTGCACCATTTACATAAAATCGGACCATCTGAACCGATTTTCACGAAACTTGTACTCTTTGCCAAATTTCGTACAAATCGAGAGATATATAGGGACGTTGGTGCACCATTTACATAAAATCGGACAAAACCATCTATGGGAGCTATATGTAAATCTGAACCGATTTTCACGAAACTTGGCACACATCATTCTGGACCTAATTCAGTACTCTATGCCAAATTTCATGCAAATCGAGAGATATATAGGGACTTTGGTGCACCATTTACATAAAATCGGACAAAACTATATATATGGGAGTTATATCTAAATCTGAACCGATTTTCACGAAACTAAGCACACATTGTTCTGAACCTAATTCAGTAGTCTGTGTTAAATTTCGTGCAAATCGAGAGATATATAGGGACTTTGGTGCCTATATCGGACGAAAATATATATGGGAGCTATATATAAATCTCAACCGATTTTCACCAATTTCAATAGGGTTCGTCCTTGGGCCAAATAAGTAACTTGTGCCAAATTTCATCTAAATCTGCTACAAAAATATACACAAAGACAATACCCTGTACCACAGTGTGGTGGAGGGTACAAAAGGAGGGTTATACGGGGACTACCCCTAAAAGGGAGCGAATATTAATAATTTATGGGAGGGAGGTTTCTTACCATATACGACTACAAAAAAACCAAATTACAGAGAATTTGGTTGAAAAACGCGTTCAAGAACCCCAAAATACCGCAAAATTGGGGAGTACCCTTATAGGGGGGCTACCCGAAAAAATGGACCTATATTTATAATTTATAGTGGAGAGATTTGCTACCTAATAAGAACTCGATGTACTAAATTACAGTCAATTCGGTCGAAAACTGCGATCAAAACCCCCAAAATATCGCAAAATTGGGGGTACCCTTTTATGGGGGCTAAACGAAAATATGAACCCATATTTTTAATTTTTAGTGGAGAGATTTGCCACCCAATAAGAACTCAAATTACAAATTTTAGCGAATTCAGTCAAAAAACGCGCTCAAGAACCTCAAAATACCGTAAATTGGGGGGTACCCTTATATGGGAGCTAAGCCTAAACGTGGACCGATTTTCTCCAATTTCAATAGGGTTCGTCCTTGGGCCAATTATGTGACCTGTGCCAAATTTCATCCAAATCGGATCATAAATGCGACCTGCACTTTGTTAACAAAAATACATGGACGGACGGACAGACGGACATGCGTAAATCGACTCAGAAAGTGATTCTATGTATATTCTCAAAAGGAACCATTTGTCTATCTCGATTATTTTTGCCTGTTACAAACATATGCACAAAGACATAATACCCTGTACCACAGTGTGGCGAAGGGTAAACTTGCTATTCGATGAGAACCTAATATACTAAATTACAGTCAATTCAATTGAAAAACGTTCTCAAAAATTTATTTATTTTCCATTTTCCACGAGGTTGCATTTTCTGCAAAAAAAAAAAAATTCGAAAAATGTCTCAATTACAGTTTAACCTTACATGTAGATGTTTTGTTTTTTTTTTTTTTGTCCTACCTCATAAGGACAAACATTGTTTTATAAGTTAATAAAATTGTATATTCAAAATATCTAAC